GGGGCTCGGCCGGGGACGGGACTTTAGCGAGCGACCGGTTACTCCTGATCGCGGTCTTTGAACTCTTTGTCTCAGCACGCTAAAAACTTTGCAATTTGTGAGAGGTCTTTGAGTTACAGTTTAACAGGAGCAGCCAGGGCATGAGAAGCGTTTCTCGTTGCGTGGTGATCGTCTGTTAAAGCCTACAGGGAGTTCAGTGCACAAATGAATATGGAGTGCAACGCGTGTGTTTTGGTGCGCGCTGTTGAGGATGGTACTTAAAAATATAGTAGGCTCGAAACTTTGGTGAAATAGTGGAGTATTAGTTGAGGGAAGAGAGGATGCTCGGCCATTTTGCTTTACTGAATCTTCACTGAGCCGGACAGCTTGGCTGTAAAATAAAGATATGTTGGTTTCTTTTTCTTTGAATGTCATTAAATGATCTGTGAAAGTGCTTTGTTGGCTGTTTTTCTTTTAGATTCCTGTTACTTTTCCAGTACAAAATTGCGCTAGGGCTCTAGGAGGCATGCAGAGTAAAACTGGCTGTAAAGATATGGAAGCATTGCTTGGTATTATCAACCAGAAATATTTTGTGCTTTCTTCCCTTGGAGATTAACTTAACTAAAGTCTGCCTTTGCAAGTGCTGGCAACTTTCTGGTGACCTTCATAATGAAGATAAGACAACTGCCGGTGTCGCTGTTGATGTTCTATCCCTGAGGGGAGCTGTGAAACCAGCCAGCCTCTTGTTAACGTTGACCTTCTCAACCTCTGCAGCCAGCAGTGTCTGACTCTCCTAACATATGATGCTATGTGAAGTCCTAATTAGAGTATTTTAAAACATCTTTCACTTGATTGTTAGCTGTTGTCACTTATAATAAACTGAGTATGAGTTTTTGAGAGATCTGAATTAGACCTGCTGTGGAAACAAGTACATTTGCTTTCTGGCTCATGTATACATATTCTCGACCATTCTGTTCTAGAGAACTGCATCTCCTACTCATTTTGCCCTTGGTAAAGTAGAATCTAATAGCGTCAGATTGGGGAAAATTATGGTATAGGGAGCAACTTTAAAGCTATTGTCATAGAGCATTGTCAAGAAAAATGAGTCTGCAATAGCTTTCTTTTGCAATTTCACTATTCCTTCTGTGGATCTATCTTAAGTAATTTTATACAACTTTTTTTTTTGAGCTTATTTAATGGAAAATAAATTTAATGTTAATTTGTTGGTAGGATGGAACAACTCATTTTAGTTTTCAGACACGTTTAAGGGTTAATTTTTGTGTAGCTTTCTTCAGAGGTTGAGGTGACTGCACAAAAAATATCAAGATCATGATTATTTTATAAATTAATTGGAAAAAGCTAGCAAAAGTAAGGAGGACATGAACTACTTGACTTGAAGGCCTCTGCCTGCTATTGCTATGAGGGTAGCATGCAAATGTTTTGAACTCTCTTTTTAGGCCAAAAGACTATAAGCAACTTTTAACAGCATATAAATAATGCTAGGTGAAAGAAGTAAGAAACAAATGCAACTATCTTTTTTTCCTTTCCTAGCAAAATCGAGTAGGAAACTTACCTTCCTATATTTAGCAAATGATGTCATCCAGAACAGTAAGAGGAAAGGTCCTGAATTTACTAGGGAATTTGAATCTGTTCTTGTGGATGCTTTTTCTCATGTCGCCAGGTACGTTGCTACATTACTTTTTAACTCAAATTCTCTCTCTAAAGTTTTTGTGCTCTTGTTATAACAAGTTCTATTTCAAAAAAATGTTTTTTAAATGTCAGTAGTAGAAAGTGGTCTCTGACTACTTTATGGATAGAAACTGTTGAGTATTAATCTTTCTCTTGGGGAAAACTTGTATAAAGCTGTGAGGGGCTGATTCACAAACATTTCTGCTCTGCATGAAATTCCTACGTACTTTATTTTAATTGTTATTAAAAGATCTTGGAGATCTGTCCAAAGGTGACAATTACACCATGTTCCAAGCTACTGACACTTAATAGCTGCATATTTGTGTGTGTGTGTGTGTGTGTGGTTTTTTTTTAAGCTACATAATGATGACCCTTTCCCCTTTTCAAAAGATTTTAAAACAGATTTGATACTTTTGGGTTACTGGATTCTTGTCAGTCTTCTGGTTTGAGTATAGTTTCTTTTTTGTTTAACTGCAAATTGCTTATTTTAACAGTTACTGGCTTCCTTGTTAGTGCAAGGGTTTTATATCTAAAAGGAGGGAAGATGTGATGCAGCTGCCAAAAAACTGGGCTACCGTTTAGTCAAGATTTTCTCTAAGTAGCATAATAACTATTGTTATCTCAACTAAACAACTTTAATGTTATGTGTGTTTAGCGGTATCCTGTTCTGGATAGCTGTGTAACTTTCAATGTGCTGTATAAGTACATTTAAGTGCCTAATGATCCAAACGATCTACTTTTTAACTAGGATGTTATTGACTGAAACAGTTGCTTCAGGTTAATACTTTAAATTGAAAGCATGGCAACTTGGAGGTATTTTGTAACTTTTTTGTGTGCAGATTCTGAAAGATACCAAGTTTTCTTCCTTCAAAATTTTTTCTGGTCCTTCCCTTAGGGTGGCAAGGTGGGGTGCTTTCAGGCAATCTTTGGTTCTAACATAAGGGGAAAATTGGCCTCAAGTGTGTTTTGTACAGTTTATGCCCGAGAGTATGAGAAAGAGTCTCTCCAAAAGTGCAGATGCTGCAATGGGTGCAACTTCTAATTTGGAATGTGCTATGTTAAAACATTTCTTATGTTTTCAGCTGGACTATAACCACTTTTTAAATCTTTGAACAGAGAAGCAGATGAGGGCTGCAAAAAGCCCTTGGAACGATTGCTTAACATCTGGCAAGAAAGGAGTGTGTATGGCAGTGAGTTTATACAACAATTGAAACTTTCTATGGAAGACTCCAATAGCCCCCAAACTAAAGGTGAGTATCTGATTTTTTTGTTGTATTTTTTGCTTTGTTTTTATTTTTTGTTTTAAATTGGTGCATGCTTCATTGAAAGGTTAACCGTGAAGAGTTAAGCTCTGGACTCCTAGAGTCATTGACTTGTTGTCGGAGTTGGTCCTGGAGATTCTTCAAGATTACCTTTAGAGAAGTCTGTCTGTCTTTTTTTTTTTTTTTTAACTCAAAATAGAACTCGAGTTCTATTTTGCCAGTGTATTGCCTCATGACTTGTTCCCAGTAATGAGCTTAACATCAGGTAAATTCTGGTTCTGCGCATGCAGACAAGACGCTCTAGGGCTGCCTTTTGATGTGAGGCTAAGTTGATAGGATGCGAGGGAATGTTGCTTGGGAGTTAAAATTGTCCCACTCTGTATCTATGAGAGTAATCAGCTGGGTTATTATAATGGTTTATTCAGTATTGCTTGTGCTTTTGTTTTCTTTTTTTTTTTATTTTGCATAGTTGTTCTGCTTTATTATGATTCAACAAAGACTTTTTAATAATTGAATGTTGAAATATATGCCCAGAAGCTTATCTGGTCTCTTTTTTTTCTTTTCTCCAAATGATGTCAGCTGGTATAATAACATAGTAATTTTGCATCATTTAATAACCTTAGAGCATCATGCTTACAACCTTATTGTTGGAGGAGGCAGGTGTTAGAGTGTAAACTTCTTGAATTTACTGTACTTTTCTACTGATCTGGCAGGTACTGCCTCTTCTGTCATAGCATCTGAAATTTAACTGGTAGTACTGTAAAGAGAAGAGGAGAGTAGTAGGAAACCCAGCCTATTGAGGATGAGAGTCATTAAAAATTAAGCCAGTTCCAGTCAAGTGAATCTTTCAGTCTCAGTCTTTTCAAATTAGCCAGAATCAGATTGCTGCTTGGCTAAATTTTGCTCTGTTCCCCACAGAGGTACTGTACTTCATAGCAGACTTGGCTTAATCACTAGTAAAGTGTTGTTATGCCATTCTTAGCTGGTGAAAACAAGAAAGATGTGTGTAAACCTTTTACTGGGTAATAAATGATAATTGCACAGGGTTAATCTGAAGACATGAGCAAAGCACGTGAAGTCATACATCTGTGGCTACAGTTTGTGTTTTTTGACATGTTTCTTTAGGCAAAATTAGTGAGTGGGTCAGCTCTAGCAACTTACAACTGGTGCCTTCCAACTTAATGTAATTAAGTGTAACATTCAGAAGGTGTTGCATTTTTTTTCAAATGCTTGGAGGCTAGCTGCCTGAAGGGATTCTCTCTTCCATACTGGGACATGGAATCCACGTGACCTCCGAAGTGAGCCTCTGTCATGAGTGAATGGGAAGGTGGAAGGCTGTTTCGGCAGGGCTGGAACATGTACAATCTCTAAATGAAAGTTCAAATTTGATGACTTTTTCTTGATTGGACATAGTGCTTAAGACACCCGTTTGTCATGGAAGGACAGAGATTTTGCGTGCCTGAATTCTTGTTAAACTGAATAACTGAATGTTTGAAATGGTTGGTCTACTAAGGTACCTGAAAAGGTATCTCATTTTATCTTAAGAAAATTATGCTTCTTGTCCAAAAAAAAAAAATGCTGATAGGAATTCCAGGTGAATTCACAATGACCTGTTACTCAGTATCATCCACTGTTCTGAGCAGTGGTATCAATCAGTCCAGCTACTGTTACCTTTTGAACTTGCAACTATTTGTACAAATTAAACTCTTCCTAATTGTAACAGAACCTTGTGGGAAACAAAGTGAAGAGGAAGACAGATGTTCCAAAAACTTTGTTGTGCACATTATGGCTAGAAAGTTAGTTTTTGTCTGGGTAAACGGATACTAATGTATTTTTTTTCTATTTGAGAGAACAGTCCAAACTTTTTCAGGAGTGTCACTATTGCAGTTGACTTGTCAACTCATTGGAAAAAAGAATTTGTGATTTTTAAATAAGGGGAAAAGAAATTTGAAAAACTCAGAGGTCTCCTGATTTTTTTTCCTTATTTTAACTGCCTTGTTTTCAAATTAGCATTATAACAATAAGAACTAATTTCATATTGGATTTTAATGACTTTCTAATATAAACTGGTGTTTGTCCAGTTTCTGGTAGACAATTATCTATGTAGCAGAAGTCTCTATTTTCAAGGTAACCAAAGATACGTTATTGTCCATCTTGCCTGTTTTACAGACACAATGTTTACCATAAAAAATGGAATAACCATAGTATACCACTTCTCAGAAGAAAAAAAAAAAAACCACTGAATTCCTGGTTTTGCACGCTTCCAAAGTAGACATGGGTTAGAAATAGGTAGTGTTAGTATGTTGAGAATAGTTCAACGTTGTGCTATTAAAACAAAACTTTGAAGCTTCTTATGAGCATCTGTTGCTGTGGTAATGAGTATACTCTTCTTAAGCCTGGGGTAGGGTAAATCTCTGCTGCTTTTTAATGTTGCAATGTGTGAACGACCTCTTAAATTATTGGAATGAGTAGGTGCTGCCTTCTGCACAGCATGGCTCTGCCTGGGTTCAAGTATATCAATTCTACTTACAGTTGTGAAACTTGCCAAAATAAGAGAGTCCTGTATCAATGAGAAGAGAAATCTTTAAAGCTTATCTGTGCATGTTCTAATGGTGCAGCCCATTTCATGTTTCATTAATAGCAAAGCCTCAGAAAAAGGTCTATATAGCAATTCAATTGGAAGCACATGCTGGATATCTGCCATGGAGCAGAATGGATTGCATGAATAATAAGGTTGTCAGTTAAGTGTGGTGGTGGTGGGGGGGGAGTACCTGTCCTTTCTAAGCATTATATTCCCTAGTTTTTACTTCCTTAGAGTGATGCAATTTACTACCATATCGTAGTCTTTCAGGTTCCTTAAGGAAACATGCAAATACATACAAGTCAACTTTTGAATACTGATATCTTTATTTATAGGGTCTTCAACCCTAAATGTATTCATTAAGCTTGCATTTGCTTTCTCATTAATCTCTTTTTTTATTAGAATGTTTGTTTTTACAAGGGATAGGGAGGAGAAGAACCCATTTATCTTAAGGGCTGAAAAAATAGGTCTGTAGAGATTTGATGTAAAATCCTTTAGGTAATATAACCTATATAGCTGACATGTTTTCACTGTCTTTAATAAGCAGTTGAAGGAAGTCCTTGAATATGCTCTGATGTGGGAGTGTTGCAAGATAATGTAGAACAGAACTGTTGTTACCCATCCTCTGTGGCTGAGCTTATATCGCAGATTGAGGCATAGTGAGTAAGATCCATATTGAAATATGGAGGAAAAAATGTCAAAAGGAAAACACAGGGATGCTTTCCAGAATAATTGAAATAAAGGCACCTGGGGACAGGGCTAAGTATCGTTTTGGAGCAGGTCAGTTCTAGTTATGTTTGACGAGGGACAGGCTACCAAAGAATGTATGTTGTAAGAACACTTTTAACAATCATGAATAATCTGACCCTTAAAATCAAGGGGTTAGAATAGCTGCAAGGTACACTGAAGCATTAGGATTTTTGTATTTTGCTGTTCTTTATCTTCTGGTGTTCTGTGATGGTGGTCTTTTTTTCTTTAGAAAGATTAATTTTTTGCTGTATTCAATATTTTGTCCTAAATTGCTTTCCAAAAGCAATTGTTGCTGTTGTATAAGGTTCCTTGGAATATGAAGCCTACAAAAGTGTAGGGGTTTTTTTGGTTTTGTTTTGGTTTGGTTTTTTTTGCTACAGTTTTGGGAGGCTGATTTTTGGTTATGCTGGCTGAGGATGATAACTCTGCCACTAGGTAAACAAAGTACTTAAATTCAGCTGCTCTCCCTTTTAAGTAAACAGTTATCATTAGAACTGAGAAGTAAAAACCTCTGTCTTAGAAGTTTGGCTGTTATTGCGGTTCTGGAATTTTTTCCGATGTGTAGACTGTAACAGTTAAATTACTTATGGTTAGCAGATCTTCAAAACTACCCGGGCAAGATCCTTTGTGACTAAGCCTGAAAGAGAATACAAAGCCAGCGGTCCCTTTTCACAACAGCTTCTTATATTTGAAAATAGATTATTTTTTTCTGCTTTGGTGAAATAGAAATGGTATTTCCAGAATTCTTTAAAGAAGCCTTCTGCTTCCCTTGTGTACCAGTTCCAAGGAAGGAGGAGTGCCAGATTCCGCATACGTGGTGCCCAGAACGCTACTATAAAGCTAACTGCTTTGTCTAGGCTCCTTTTTCTACTGGAGACTCTGTCTCGTTAGCTGCTGCTATTCCTATTCTCAGGAAGTTATGACTTTTCTAGCACACAAGCTAGCTACTGATACTTAGGCCTGCAGGTATTCATGCACCTATCTTCTTTAAAGTCTTTCTAATCAAACACAGTTAGTCTTGTTCAGACAGAAAATTTGGCTGAATGCTGAAGCTTCTATGTTAGAGTAGCAGGCTAATAGCAAGCATGGAACTGACCAATGAGCAACAAAGCAGGATCAGCTCTCCAGCAATTCTCATTCATGTTTTCACTTCTGTATGCACTGCGGTCATTCACTCTTCTGTCATTTGCCTTCTGCTTATGTTTTATTGGTTAATTACTTTATACTAAGTACACGCAAGTGATAAATATTTATGGCACATTGCATTGAGGCTACATAACTTTAAATGATCTCTTTGGCCATTTTATGGTCTGCATGTTTTCTGTTCAATTCTACATGTGTATTTTTTGCACACCTTAGTGGACTGCGGCCGTTTTTCTTGTTCATCTGGTATCTTATTTGCTTATCAGTCATTGTCAAGTACTCTCTTACCTCAGTTGTATATGTACAATAACCATATTGTACCTTTCTCTAGCCTAGACAGCCATATTTTAGCCTGTATCAAAAAATCGTCTGATTTTTTGATAACTACATTTTCTGTGCTTCTTTGCCTTCCATAGAATTCATCTGATCGCTAACAGGGATGCATTTTTGTCTACTTCATGAAGATCATTTAGCTTTTTCCCACACTAGTAGGACATGCAGCACCTCTGACTTTCTCTCCGTTAAAATAACATTTTTTCAGATTCATGCCTTACTTCACAAGGAGGCAAAATTCAGCATGTAAGGGCATACCTTTCTATTTGCTTCTTCATTAGAATTGGACAGACTGATATCATTTTAAATCAAGAATGATCTTGGATTTTTCTGTGAATTGGTGTATATACTGTTTCCCTTGAATTCCAGGATTATTTTGGTGAGACTTGATTCCATTCAAGAGAGACTCTTAGGACTCTGTCCTAAGTTGTCTAACAAATTACTCTGACTCTTCTGAGTTTTGATGACAAGTCTGAAAAATGAACTGTTTTTTTTTTTTTGAAGGCTCTGTAACTGGATCAAATGCTGCATTAAGACTTCTGACTCAAAAGATAAACTGTCTTTTCCCTTTGAAGCTAAGGCACGTTATGCTAAGGTTCATTCAACCAGCAGTGTCTTGCTTTATGAAATCCTTATTTCTGTAGCGTAATAGGTTACCTGCTTGGAGATCAGTTCATGTTCTGTCCATTACTGATATTGCTGTCGCATCTTGTTGCAGAGCTTCAGTTTGCTAGAGCTGTCCTGAGGTCTTTATTTTGATGGAGAAGCGGAAGGCTGAATAACCAGCAGTTATTTGTCCTTTCATATTGAGACCACAGTGAGCATATGTTTGGTGGAAAAATAATTCGAATTTCTTTCCTTCATATCTATCTTAGGATCCATCCTCCATTACTACTGATAGGGAATCCTTCACTACATGCATAGTATTAACCAGAGATTCTGAGCAGAGTTGAAGACTTGCCATTTATTGGCAAATGGGGCATTTACTTGCCATGCCTCTTTTCAGTGTAGAAGGTGCAAAGATGTAAGAGTGCAGTGCATACGGTTGATAAGACTGTATCCTTGTGCTTAGAGCACATGCACGTATAGACATACTTGTGTGGGCAAGGTTAGCCTTCTCTTGCTAGTGTGCATTTGAGCATTTGCAATATGATGCCAATATTAGAGTGCATCTGTGGTCATCCTTCTCTTTAGAGAGGCCTAATCACTGAAGCATCTGGTATGGTGGTTGGTGCTTTTTTAAGTAGAGGTAGTTGGGGCATATAGATCTGGCACCCAAATGAGTTGCTTATGTGTCTTCAGTTGCAGAGGAGAAGAAGTCTTTAAAGCGGACTTTTCAGCAAATACAGGAGGAGGAAGATGATGATTACCCCGGGAGCTACTCACCCCAAGACCCTAGTGCTGGGCCACTGCTGGTATGTCCAAAGGGTTGAGGGTGGGGAGAAGTTTGGAAAGCGACCTCCTGTGAGGTACAGCCACAAGGGGGAGCTGCCAACAAGTGAAATAAGTTTACCGGAGAAATTCAACTGGGGTTTGAGAAGTCAGTATGTAATAGAACAGATTCTTTTTTCATATTAAGACGCTGCAGCACATCTGAGTGATTTCCATTAGTGTAAACCAGGATCTGAGTAGCAGGAAAGAATCTCGGAGGACTGCTAGAGGAACAGACCATACTTAATGCTTCCATCAGTGTGTGATCTCTCACACCCAAAGCTGTAACAGTTTAAACTGATCTCTTTTTTGTTTTGCAGCACATAGATATCTCTATGTGTATACTAAGAAGCTCAACCTTAGATAGGTTTGTGTGGAGTTGGTTACAAAAATCAATTTTGAAGAATTTATTCTGAGGCTGACGTGTTAGTGGTGTGTTAACAATAGGAATGAAATAGGATCATTTTGACTATTTAAGGCTGCAAACTGAACATATGTTAAATCATTGTCTATTTGAAAAGATGAAAAGTTACACCATCCATCTGGTAGACTATAGACATTGAAAAATAGAAATAAATTGCAATTGTCAAGGAAATGAGTGGAGTTTTTTGTTTTTTACCTCCAGATGCCCTGCAGCTCATGGTTTCTCTTGATGATAATCATTGTGTTTGTTACTATTGGAAATCATTAGTAGTTTGCAAAGAAGGACTAAATATTAGGCAGGCAATGGACATCTTTAGTTTTCAGATAAAACTACAATATATTTATTGAAAAGTTATTTTTTCAATGTTTTTATTATTTTTCAAGCTAAGTATTAAATTACAGTTTAAAAATCAGCATTGTTTATAGGACTAGCCACGCAGCTTCAAAAACTACCTCTTAAACCTTGTTCTAAAGCCCAGAAACAGAACACTTTTCAAGGAGTCTCCCTTTCTCTCTCTCTTTTTTGGTGGGGGAGGGGATACGGTAGGTCAAGGGAGGCCTTTATAAAGCAGTACTCAAGCAAACTCTTACCCTAGGATACTTTTTGAGTACATTTATTTATACCGATGCATTTTTCTCAATGCACTGAGAATAGCTGAAAGACGAAATTGCTAGGATATAGCAGAGTCCATTTTAATTGCAATGTGCTTCTAAAGAGTCCATTTAACTAAATGAGGAATAGCAATGGCTTTACTGAGGGAGGACAGTGTAAAGTCTGCTTTAATAGGAGTATTTTTCGTCATAGTCAGAGTTTATAATAGGTAACCAAGTACAAAATTGTAAAATGTGCAACTGTAAAAAGCTGACAGACAGTATTGTTTAGAAGGTAATGCAGTGGCCATATCCACAGGAAATAGCATAGAAGATACCTGGTTTTAATGAAAGCCTACTTGTCTTTCCGTCTGGTAGACTGAGGATTTGATCAAGGCCCTACAAGACTTGGAAAATGCAGCATCAGGAGATGCAACGGTGCGGCAAAAAATTGCCTCTCTGCCTCAGGAAGTTCAAGATGTATCATTACTGGAGAAAATTACAGGTATGAAACTTGAAGATGAATGCAAACGGGTCCAAAGAGTAACTTAAAAAAAAATCTTTGATTTCTACATAATCATAACGTACAGGGGGAGTAAATTTCAAGTTTTGTGTGCTCATTTCCTAATTCTTGGGTAGTTGATAGATCACAGCCCTATGAAATATAATTGAAGATGAAATTTATATACCTTGTTCCATTTTTCTGCCTTAGACCAATCTGCGCATTTAGAAAGGTTTTTGTGCTTGGAGATCATCAACAGCATTTTCCAAAAATGTAGAGGAAATAGAGGCATAGTTCTCAAATGGTTATGTTTGATTTTGAACACCTTGACTATTGGGTATTTTAAATGAGTTTTACCAGGCTGTGCTGAGTACACGCGTACTCCTTCACTGCTACAGAAAAAGAAACTCGCTACTCCCATAAATCCGATGGTCTTCATTTAAACCGACTTTTGCAGTTATATTTTAAAAGTAATCTTAGTAAAAGCATTTAAAGGTTGACCTGATTTGACTTTGTTCCTGAAAGTAGTTTAATTTAGAACTCATTATGAACTGTCACTTACTCGATCCTTTGTAATACACTCTTGCTGTGTCCAGTTTGAAGACTAGCATGCAATTTGTATGTTTGCTTGTGTGAATATGTTAGCAGATGCTCAGAAAAGAGGACGTAAAAAGTGCACACCATGTTTAAATGTTAAAACCTTCTGATTAACTAAATTCTGCAGGCGCAGCCTGAAGTTCTAGTTTAATTAATCTGTTACAGAGACAGACTTTATAGATATTTTTCTCACCCCTAATCATTGACATCTCTGCAAGACCAAAATGCAGTCAGTCGCATCAGTGTCTGGAAAGAAAACTGTTCTCAAGTTATTAGTCTTGCCCGTTTTCTTTATATTCCCTCCGATTAGAATTCTATTTTCCTATCAAGCTAGGGCTATATTTATGAATGAAATGTTATCATGCATGTGGTTGGTGAATTATAGCCCTTCTGTCAAAAGATAAAAGGTTTTAAACTTTGTCCTGTAAATTACTGAACAATTTTGCACGTAGACAAAGAGGCAGCAGAACGTCTTTCGAAGACTGTGGATGAAGCATGTCTGTTACTAGCAGAGTACAATGGACGACTGGCAGCAGAGCTGGAAGACCGGCGCCAGCTGGCACGCATGCTGATTGAGTACACGCAGAATCAGAAGGATGTATTGACAGAAAAAGAAAAAAAGCTAGAAGTGAGTACTTATTTAAAGCAGTGCTGGCAAGCTGGTTGTCTAAGCAAATACTCCCACTTGACTCCTAAGTTAGGTATTTCTGTCAGGGAAGATGATTCTAGGAGTTATCTTTTCATTTGGAGTAAAACGGGTAAAGAAATGATGTAAAAACCCTGAAGAAAACAAATCAGTCCAAGGCGTTTTACTTCAAATGGGCGTGGAAGGCCCAGAACTCAGAACTTTGTAACAAAAATTACTCGTTGGACAAACGTTTCTGTTTGGTTCAGATTTACACCCCCCCCCCCCCCCACTCTCTCTCTTCTATTTTTTTGTTTTTTTTTTTTTTTTTGGTTTGTTGGCTTTGGTTTTTCTTTTGCCTATGGGTGGGTGCCTTTCATCTCCCTTCCCAGTCCCTGCTCGATAAGCAGATGCAGTTTAAACAAGATCATCTGGTATCCTTTAGCAGCCACTTTTGCCAACAACTTCTATAATCGGGTATAAATTGGGCTGATATCCAAAGATGATGACTTCCATTTCATGCCGTAGCTCTCGTGAACAAGGAGGGCAGGGAAGTGTGTAAAAATGAGACTACTCTGACTGGAACTCAGCATCAGCTGCAAGTCCTAGAGTGAGTACGTAGGCTATGGCAGACGGCTATTTATCTGAAACGTTCTTTCTCAGAGGAAGTTTTCCAGCACCACACCCTGGGACTAATATGGAAGTTTAATTAATGATTTTGGTTGTATGTCACTCTACCATCTGTTAAACTGCCCCCTGGCGACACATTAAGGGCTTTCTCTACCTAGAGAAGAATATCGGCTGCTGATTATTATGAACAGCTGTTGTTGGGTGGGACACGAGTTGCTGCAGAGGACAAAGTCTTCTGGAAGGAGACTGTTGTAACAATTGCGTGTTCTGTTAACTGTCATGACAAACCTTGTCTTTGGACAGCTAGGCAACGTTGTTTTGAGGTAAATTTCATTTTGGATGTATTTCTTGTAGTGTGTCTTTATACTGTAACTTCTGAATGTTTTGTAATTGTGAACACGTTGCCTTTCCAGGGTTGAAATCAGAAAAGCAAGTGCTGATGATGTGTTCAGAATTACAGTATTGAAAGTTCATAATCTTGTTAGCTTGTTTAGCTTGAATTTCTTGAAGTATAATGTCTGTCTTATGGCTGAGTCATTAAAAGGTACTTTCAGACATGGATGTGAAAGGTGTCATAAAGTAAATCATGTTTGGCACATGATTTAATTGCTGAATACTAGTGGAAGTCTTGGGCCAGTTTTTTTTCTTTCTGAAAAAGACACCTGTCTCATAGAAGCAGATTAAGTCTATATATAATAGACTTAATCCTTAGAAAAGCAAGAATTGGATAGCAAAATGCTGCACAGAGACATTTTAAGAGGCCCAGAACAATCCATAAATTTTAGTCAATTTGAGGCTATGCAAAATTAAGAAATTTGCAGTTACAATATTAGATGAAATTTTCTAACAAACTAACTGAAATGTTGTGGTGAGTGTATTGGTTTTTGTTTTTGAAATTCTACTTTTGGTAAGGAATATTATTTAAAAAATGTCACTGTGGCAGAGTTGCACATGTAACCCTGACAATTAAGCTGTTAACCAGATGAACTGAACTACTCTGTTCATAGGAATAATCCTGCTGGTGGTGATGGGCAAGTTGTTTGTCTATTGTTAAGTGTAAACATGCTGTTTAATAATCAGAAATTAAAGAATGATCTTATTAAACATCTGGTTAGGGTAGCATCTTTGTCACTCCACCAAAACAAGGTGGCCCTAGTTCTGTAGAAGTCTAAAATTAGTTGCAGGAAATGGCATTTAAATACTTATTTAACATGAGGACACAATTCATATTCACTTCAAATAGCAAATCTTAGCTGAGGAATATTGCCTGAGTAAAGCACTCCATTGTTCTCAACTTAGAGGGTTAATAAATAGTGGAAGATGTTCGTTACAGATACGGCATGCTGTATCTGCTTATCGGTTTTGTTTGAGTCTTTGATGTTCTGGCAGTAGCGCTATTGATTAGGGTCAGGATTTTTCTTTGTAGTGCTAATAACTGTTTTAATAGAAGTATCCAAAATCTTGTAGCAGTTGGGAAATGTATTAGAAACACAAAACTTCTAACCTTTAAGCAAAGACTGAAAGAAGAAAATAACTTAAAACAATCTAATTTTTGAACATCTTCTCATAGTACGTTTTGGTCTCTTGAGATCTTTTCTATAGTCTTTAGTACTATTGGCTTTTTCTTTCCTTTTTTTTTTTTTTTTCTTTTCTTTCCCCCCCCTCCTTCCCCCGCCCGGTGAAGTAAGCTTCCTGACTCTCAAATTGAGATACCGTTTTAGATATAGACAAGTTGTTTACTTCAGCGACTACCCTGTTCCAGTCAAAGTTGAGTTGCTAGATGGGGAGCGGGGGCTCCTAGTTAGTAATATGAGTCAGGGCTTTATTCTAAGATGTGAGAAATGAGTGATTCAGAAAATCCTTGGATATTTCTTGTACTTGATTTGCTCATAAAATTAAGTCTTTTGTTATGATAGTAATAGCTGGTCTACATCTTTGGAAAAGCTTTTGCTGTCTAAACAGCTGTGTTTGTTTACTTGTCCTGTTAGCCCTATCCCTCTTGAAACAGCAGATTCTCAAAATATTATATACATAAATTGAGTGTATTTATTTCTCAAAATAGTTTGCAATGCTGTAACGCTGGGACATAAAACTCTTGTCATCGGTTGTAGAAAAGCCGTCTATCGAGGAGCAATATGCTGAAAAAGATGATCTTGGACAGTGAATAGCACTTGAGCATTGGTAAAGATTGGCAAGAGTGAGGATTCAAACAGCATAATGCTAAGAAACACTGGTAATCTGAAGGAAGAAAGCTAGTAGAGAGCCTGAAGGTTACAACGTGTGGACAAAGTCTGCTTTTGGGATGGTGATTCCTAGGCAGCAGTTGAATAATTCAAAGTGTAATAATGAGGATATAAAAGATGGTAGTGACTTGATTGTAGTCTAAAAGCACTTTCAAGGAGAGGAAAGTAGAATTCCTTTTATTCTGGCTGTCACCTGCAGAGCAAAACTGACCGGACCAAAGCTGATGGTGAGCAGACAATAACAAGGCATGTATTTTTAAGGGTCAATATTATCTGAGGTTAATTTACTGAAAGCTGTCGTGGGTTCTGTCAATATCACTCGATGTCTGAACATTGCATGGCTTTTTAAATGATGTTTCATCTCGATCCAAAATTATGAGCTTAATGCTGCAACTGCTGGGCCTGTACTAGATCAGAGCTCAGCCTAAATTCTTATAATAGATGTAAGGCACTAAAATCTATTTTCAAATGCAGCATAGGAAAAACCTGATATTTCTGTTAATTAAAAAAAAAAAAAAAGAGAGAGAGATGAGGTGACTTCCTATCTTGTGTGAATATTTAACTTCCAATGAAAGTTTTATGCCCTGTGTGTTATTTTTGACCATTACTGACTCTGCTGCAATTGCTGAGTGCCATCAGTTGGAGAGGGTTTTTTTCTTGTCCTTCAGCACCTGAGTCTGTGTAGGACTTTAAGGGGAAGGGCTGTCTTTTTGAAATCAGAATGCTCTTTTTGTAGATGCATGGCAGACAAATAGGGAGGAAAAAAATCCAGGGAATCTTATTTGGATAGAATTGAAGTGTAGGGGAGCTATTTGCAGGAGGAAACTTCCATGTTGGTGTACCAGGTGACTGTAAAATGAGTCAACTAAATAGATGAGACTAGAAAAATCAAGTGAAAGTAGTGCTAGAAAAAGGCAAATTGTGTGAAAGCCTTATGGGTATCTAAAATAACTGCTGACAATATGAAATATGGAGTAGGTGGAGGAGGGTATTTTAATCTAATGGGGCGAAGAATATCTAGAGAGAGGAGAATGCATTCAGGATTTTTGCCTTGGTATGCAGTCAGCGGTGCTGAGTTTTTTCCCCACGCCCTCCATCAATCTTATCTACCTGCATTTGTAAAAGGTGACATTAAGAACATAGTATATAGGGTGTGTATGTGGGTGTGTATACATGTGTATGTTTTTATAGATGAAAGAATACATTCTATTTAAGATTCAATTTAGAGTAATTTTTCTGATTGTTCACTGCACCTGAAAAATTGTGGCTTAGAATCTCACTGGGAACTGTGGGGGTTTTTGGGTGGATGGGTTTTTTTTTTGGTTTGTTTGTTTTAATATTCATGGTTTCAAGGCACCTTTAAAATCTGCATGTTGTTTAAGCTGTGCAACGCTTTTTGATAATGTATCTGTGAGGGTTGAAATACCTCAGCTTCATTGTTGCTTTTTTGCTGCTGCAAAGTGAGAAACTGGTTCCCACGCTAGCATTTGTTTTCAGTTTGCTTTTGAGGTGTGTTCTTCTGCACTGAATTTGTGAAATGGAAGATGTTTCCCTCTCCATTTTCTGACTTCTTGCAGGGACAAATGGACTGTATAGTTGTAAGAACGCCCCAAAATACTTGCTGGATTGACTCCAATGTTGCTTTGGAGTTGCGACAGTTGCTGGAAAATAGTTTGTCCCCTTGGGAGTAGAACGCACTCTTCTGGAGTCATGAGACCGGAGCGTAAGTGATGCATTGTGCAGCTGCAGGCCTGCAGGTTTGTGGCTTGCTTTGTCAAGCAGCCGTATTAGTGCAGTGCCCTGCAGAGGAGGAAGGGCAGGGAAGGCTTGTTGTCATGCTTGTGCAGCTCCCTAGCTTTGTACCAGAGCAGGTTCATACCTCTTTTCAAGGTGGCATGTGGGCTGTGACCCACACAAATTGCTTATGAGGACTGTAGGCTTTGGATCAGATCTTTAATGTGTCTAATCTCACTTGTGTTCAGCTGAATTTGGATGGAAAATACGCAAGTTTACACACAATTTTTATTTTGTTCCCTATTTCTCTCTCTCTCTCTCTCTCGCTCTCTCTCTCGCTCTCCTCCCCCCCCTTTTTTTTCTCTTTTTGTATATGTGTGTTAGCGTTTGTCAGCG